GAAAAACCGAAAATGTCCCTCAGAAATTGCCGTTTAGAATTTTTGGTCCCAAAAGCTGAGCTACACTAGCAGCTCGTGAATTCACTCCGATTTGCACTTATTTTGAAAACTTTAATCGATGTTAGGTGGAGCTTCTTGGGTAAGCCAGGCTGGTCAAGTAGTGCAGATTGTTTAACTCGCAGATGCCCGGCGCTGTAAATATTGAAGGGCTATTCCAACTATGAATTCATGATTTTGCGCAATCGTGTAGAGCGATGCATCGGTCCATCTCTTTGCGCTTTCTCACCGATACAGGGTAGCACTCAAAGTAAAAAGATCATTGATCACGGGAAAATGTGACCAATTTATGGGTAGGGCCTATCAGAGAACTTCTGGGAAAAGTAGGAATGTGAGAATTGGTAGTGAATCAGTGAGAAGATGCAGACAAGAAAGAGTCTCTGCCCCTTCCTCCCACTCAATTGCAGCAGCACCATTGCCCCACCACTACATGTGATCTGAAGGGCAAAACCTCGGAATAGTTGAAAATCGTACAGAATACGATGAACGGCATTGAATAGGCGACACTGGTCATGCCGAAACCGAGTAGAAGCAACAGTCCAATGGCAGAAGCGATGGCCATGGCGGCTGAAATCACGCCGCCGACCGCGAGCCTGAAAAGTGTACATTTCTAAACGTGAGGAACTGGCAGACTTCGTCAGACTAAGCACGCACCAAGGTCGTGACCGTCTCCACGAACACACGCAGCACATCGCTATGGTGAAAAGCGATACGGCGACGAAGCATGGACCAAGCATACTGAAACAGTCGCACGTTGCTAGAATCACAAAAGTAACAAAAGTAGTATTCTTACCTAATCAACTGGATTGCGATCTCTCGCACTCTCTGCGGCCAGTGTTTCGTAAGTCCACCAGTTGGCACGGATCACAGGGGAATCGTACTAAATATGAACGTTCCTGCTGCTTTATTTTCGTATCATTCTTAGACTTCTATCGTAATACCTCCCGTCGCTACTTAGGGTATATAATAAGCAACTTGATAGCACCAGTATATTTACTCTGCTGTGGTACAAACGAACCGGCTGCCAATATAACGCGTATAGCTGGAATTCGTTGCCGCCCTATTGTGCCTAGCAGTCGTTTAATCCTTTTACTACTGTTGGTATAGTTGTGTACCACTCGTAGTCAAATGATACCACCACAATTTCAAGAAACTCATGAGACAGCGGCGCCCGTTCAAAGCAACAGCCCTAGATCAAATTGGCATTGTGGAATCAGTGGTCGATATGGAAATGTAAATGCCAAACTGACAGAAAATGAAAAAAAACCCGAAGCAAACCGCCAATGAAGCCATTATCAAGTATTCCTTCTCTTCCCCTTCAAGCGAGAGAGAGGCGCGTCCGAACCAGTTGTCTGGCAAGCTTGCTCCATGGCTCTGTCGTCTGTTCGAGCTAGACACTACGTGGTAACCATACTGCGTATCACGTGGTGTGCGCGAGCTATCTCGTCCATAAGTTCATGTTAGTCGCCATCAGATCATTTGTAAGGTCTAGCGCCTTTCTCACGCACTTTCAAGCCGCTATAAAGGCATGTGTGTGATACTGGGCTACTCGCTCATCCACGAAATAGATTTTTCAACATGACCACATGTGGCTTAGTTGCTGCTGGAAAGCAGAGTTGTGCGTGAATAGCAACTTTCGATTTTCCGCTCCGGGAACAATTCGTCATACGGTAAGAGATTTACAAGAGAGTCATACAGTAAGAGATTTTAATGTAGAAAGTGTGTTTTTAAAGTAATCAGGCTAATAATATAAATTTTTCAAACGGGTGGAGGTGATGTGATGAAAGATGTGGCCGTCACATCGCGTTCGCGCATCAAATCCCAGGTCAAATTCCACGTACGTGTGTCAAATTTCTACAGTTGAGTATTCATTGCTAGGAGTGCTACTCACCGCCCAGACACGTCGGCACCGTTTTCTGTTGAAAAAGTCATGGTCTAAGGGTTAAGATTGGCTCGCGTTCATTGACAAGGTGAGACAAAGATGAGTGGCACAGCATGGAACCTATCCAGCTGGGTATCAACAGCGCGCAGAGGCTATGCGCTCTCATGTGGTGCTTGTCCTTTCTCTGACGGCGGCTTCGTCTTCGCAGGAAACAGCCTAAACCCATAATCCACAGGTCGCCTTCCTATGGACGGTGAAGTGCAAAGTGAAAGTGACGATGACACGATGCATAGGAAAGGGAAGGACAGGAAAAACTTACATGTAGCAAGAAATCGGCAAGTCGCAGCTCCCACTGCTCAGCCAACCAATCTTCGCCCACGGCCGAATGACGCAAGGCATACGGTAACATCATCGCCTTCGCACCTCAAAGTATAATTTCATGAGAAGTCAGCAGTTTTGGGTTGAAAAACCTCTTCGGTGAAATAGCGCGAAACTATAGCTCTTAAAAAAGGCTCTGCGAGAGCCACCTCTTATGCAACCAACCTGCTATTCTCTTTTCACTGTCGAGCGTAACGCCACCGAGCAGATGTATGATACTACCGGCATCTAGATGTACGGCTTCGGTAATCTGACCCAACGTCATCTCATCTATTGATCGATTAACAAACGACCGATCCGACACCTAGTAACAGCTTGAACATCTCCACCATGGGATTAGAGACACATATTTGGTCAGGCCTGCAATTGGAAAAATGAACTCCGAAGGAAGTTGCGATCATGCCAGAATGAGACCAGATTTTTGTTTCCAAGAACACTTGCATAAAATTTCAGGGAACATCGTAATCCGAAGGAGCGCAGAGTAAATTCTGCTTGTTCTGCGCTACCAGTTCAACTTCTGCTAGCCATAATATATTCACTTGAACCTGTCGTCAGTTTTTACAATAACATTAAAAGTTCCGCCTCAACTAATCTTTGATCATCTAAAATAAATGATTTGTCGGAAAACTATTCACGATGGGATAGGTTAGCTAGTACGACAATTTTTCAATCCCACATGTGAAGCGTGTATGTGACTCCGCCTATAACTGCCATCATATTCCACCAAAAGAGTGGAATGTTTCTGTGAGAGTTCGGAACTTCCTGACTGATCGTATGCTGTGCTAGGCCAAGATGCCCCAAGTTACGGGTTCTTTTCTGACGTTTTGGTTCAGCCGATTTAAAAAAGAGAGCCATGAGCTGAAGGTCAAGGACGCAAACCTGAGATATTAGCAACGATTTGTTGAAGACTTCAAGCCCATTCTAAGCAAAGAGTGCAAGGACCCTCGTCAAGAATTGGATTTCTAAAAATCGCGATTCAACACCATCTGCGGCCGGAGCCGGAAGTGTCACTGCGCATATCGCACAGCTAGCCAGTAACCAGGTTGCAGATCGCTGTGGGGTAACGCGCTCATTGCTCAGAAGAGGGCGCGAGCGTTGTAGGGTGCAAGACATCGTTTCTGTGGGCGTGAATTGGGTGCTCCATGTAATTTACGACCAAAAGCCTCCTCAAGGGATCTTGGTCGATGGAGAGCCAGAGCCAATCTTCTGGGTGAGAGAAATTGCACAGGAAAAGTTATGCTTTCAGCCTGAAGATGTGTGTGGTCGTTACCTGGAGGCTCCTTCACGATAAGTGCACAAACACTGCCGATATTTACAGCCAACAACCAGAAAACTTGGTGGGGAATACAGAAAGAAACGTCCAGGAGCGGATCGAATCCTTCCGCTACATGGCAACACGTGCTCCACGAAACAACATCGGCACTTCTCAGTATTCAGAAGCTAGTCATCGAGGTTCTAATACATGCTGTTCACAGCCCAGACCTCGCTCCTACAGAATATCATCCCCATCACTTTCCAATATCAAATTAAGGACGAGAAATTCAATAATTGAGATGACATCAAAGTGGCGCTGCGGGTTATTTTGAGAGCTAGCCAAACTCGAGCTGTGGAAGAGAAATCGATGGCTCGCCTGATCATTGGCATATGTCCTTTAGATGAAAATGTGGTTCAGGGGAGGGACTGTTTTTCAATCGAATTGGAATCGCGGAAAGGCACTCATATCCTATCAGATCTTTCAACACTTGCTACCCTTGCTATATTATTCTGTGGCGAAAATGGCTGCTACCTTGCTGACTCTTCACTTAACCAGACCCTTCTTGCGATCGCCATGCAAGCAATCGGAGAAAGGGCTCTTCAGGTAGCCGATTCTGTACAAAATCCTGTGTTGGTGTTCCTTCTAGACGAACACTCGGATATCTGCTTTATGTTGATTAGATATCAATGCCCCTCCCCACTTGATTAGATACTGTCACTTGAATTAGATAAATAGTATATTATGATTGCCTCTCTTCCGGACAACAATCTCACCTGCCGTTCATGATAACGGATTCAATTTTGGTTAATGGCAGTTGTTTGTTTTAAATGAGTACTTCCTAGAAGAAAACTTGTTGATTGGAATGTATACCCAAACTCATCACAATCTATACTTACATTTATTCACTTTTGATTGTCATTTTCTTGTCAGTTGCATAACAAAAAACGTTCGATTCAGGCCACCTTCTAAAAAGGCACCTTAGAAAGAACGGATGGCTTCGAACTTCGAACTCAAACAGATCGAATTTCTTCGGCGGTAACACGTTCAAATAAAAGACCGCAAACAAGGCTTCCGAATGAGCTGACCGTCTAGATACTGAATCTCACTTTGACAGCCGCTCAGACTGTGCTAATTAGTCAGCATGTTGAGAGCTTCTGCAGCTGTATGATCTTGAAGAGAGAGCGCAATTTCCTGATTTGGGTAACTCGCACAATAGCATTTGTTCCGTTTCTTAAACAGAACCCATGTCCTCACACCAATCAATGCCCTAGAAGTTGATTGAGAAACGCCCTTTCACTCTGCCACTCGCTGTTTTGGGCTCTTCATCTCAAAAGTGATTTCATCTGCCATGGGCGTCCTAAGGTCTTTCACAGATTCACTTATATGGTAACCTAGTTGGAGCACAGTGTTCGTATCAACCTTAAGCTATTGTGCAGACCTCGCTGATCTTTACAAAGTTCCCTGGTATTTCTGAGAGCTTCTGTGACTCAACGCATGATGTTTGGTGTGTGGCGCAACTCACAGAAGCTGGTCATAGCAGATGAATTCAGACTGCGCCTATGCTTCCGCACCAACGGATCATCATGACTACTCCCACCAAAGAACGTGTATAAATTGCCCGTAATTCGATAGCAATTCAATGAAACTTAAGAGCTCTGCTCCTTCTGTATAGTTTGATCCGTCATTCCCTCCTGTTGCAAAGAACCTTAGTTATCCAACACGGCGGTTAGCCAGTTTAAAAGTGTTGTGAAGTCCCACTCGGCGGGAAGGTGCGAGCTTTCGAGGGTGTTCGTCGAACTGTCGAGAGACATCTTGGACCCGACCGGGCGCATTTCGTTTGTCTTCGAATAAGCGAAGCGTCAACGACGTGCGTGCAAATACATCACAAATCGACACACGAAAAGCCGAAATCGCTCGAAATCTTCTGGGAATTACAAATCTCTCAGAAATTGCCGTATGAGGTCAAAAGTTGCAAAAAAAGTATAAATGTGAAGACCATGGAAGCTAACACTAGCCGCTACGTACATTTGACCAAAAACAGCGGTCGCAATAGTTCGATTCTGTTAAACTTTGGGGTGGGGGAGCTAAGTGGTGCGGTATTGAGAAGGGAAACAGAGCAGCGGTTAAAAACTATGAAACGTATACAGAGTCTTGCACTGGCGTAATGACAAGTGGCGCTTTCCACGCGCGCGGTCACGTGGTCAGATCCTGGACTGTTCGTGGTAAGCTAATCAAGCCTCACCTCCTGTTGGGGCAGGATAAGTGGTAGCAATTTTGCCCTGGAGTATACTACACTGATTTTGACATCGGTTGTCCACGCAAGTTATTATATGGTAAACCTAATCCGAAATGGTACTATGAAGTAGAGGTAAGTAGAGTGTCTGGCCCATCCAAAGAGGACAGATCAGTGCCGAATGCTTTATGCTTCATCCTTCGTCACAAAAGATGATAGTGCGGCTATCGCCTCGAAGGCGCCATTTGTCCTCTGCTTGGATAGGCCTCCACATCTTTCACTATCCATTCCATACAAAAGCGCCTTGCCCTACAAGTCTTGATTCCCGTGGAGCAGCGAATACTAGAAAACAATAGGGAAGGCGAAGATCTAAACACATGCTGAACCAATCCCGTTGCGAAATTGTATTTTGGACTGGAAATTATGTAAGTAGGAGGAAGAGGATCTCGTAAGGGTACGATTGCTGAAATCAGTTGCCTTCGCCACTTGGCCGACTAGGCACAGGACGCAAAGTCGTTCTTCTCTCAGAGTTGGTGGCCCTTTCTGTATTGTGTAACAGTACGTCACCTTCTACTAGAACTGGGACTTCCGCCCACCTTTTCATCGGTGAGGTCAGCCAGTGTTTGGGCAGCGACGTCCACTCGCAACAACAGGATTACGGCATGGATTAACAGTTGTCGAGTC